TTATAAAAAGCGTCATCTTTACATATAATAGACGACCCTTTTTTAAAAAAAATCGTCGTCTTTACATATAATAGACAACAGTTTTTTTTATAAAAAGCGTCATCTTTACATATAATAGATAACCCTTTTTTTAAAAAAAAACCATCATCTTTACTTCACAATAGTCGACCCTTTTTAAAAAAAAACCGTCATCTTTATATATGATAGACGACCCTTTTTAAAAAAAAACTGTCATCTTTATTTCATAATAGACGACCATTTTTTTTTAAAAAAACCGTCATCTTTACATATAATAGACGACCTTTTTTTAAAAAAAAAACCGTCATCTTTACTTTATAATAGACGACCCTTTTTAAAAAAAACCGTTATCTTTACATATAATAGACAACAGTTCTTTCAAAACAACCATGTCTTTACCAAAAAAACGAACACTTGATTTTTAAAAGACGACGCTTGTCATATCTGTTGTCGTTGTTTTTTGGTCAGATTTTAACTCTGAAGAAAACCTTTTTAATAAGACGACGCTTTTTTATTTGTATGCGTCGTTATAAAAAAATATTCAGCAGTACCTCCGTTTTTTAGTTGTTTAAGTCACTTATCCACAACGGTTTTTTGTTACCGTCGTCTTTTTAAACACAACGACGGTTTTTTCTTCTACCGTCGTCTTTTTCACTTTTTGTAGTAGTGAAAATGTGTGTTTGTCTAGGTATTTGATCCGTTAGATAACTAACGAAAGCATGTTGTTGAATACTAACATGCATATTATATTACACATGGATACCATATTAGAACATGAACACCTAACTTAAAACCGATTTGCTATAAATCAAAAGGCCCTATAATCTTTGAAGCACTAATGCAAAGCTTCCATCCTCTCCAACTCGTATCCATAATCACTTATAAGTCGTCCCACTCAGCTAAGTACTTAAAAGAAAGAGATAGTGAGCAACTCCTTTATAACAGTCATTAATTGGAGTTTATCCAATAGCACATTTGATTGTGATGGAATTGCCTTTTCTCTCAATTCAGAGCTCGGTTCCTAACAAATTCTATATGCTTGTAAAGCTAATTAGTCACTTCATGTCAAATGCAAGGTACGTGTTTATGAATTTTGTGAGGCGACAAGAAATCAGTGTGGAACACAAATTGACCAACACATTCAAGCTAGTACCACCATATGTGTTATTTGTAGAATATGGTAGTTGTGGGAGTAAGATTTCTCAAGCCAATGACATAATTACATGCGTACAAGACTCGAAGTGGTCAGACGAAATTACCCCTGCACAATGTGGGAATGAGATCTGCACCTCATCATACATTGAAATAGGTTAGGATGACACCGTTTCACCTGAGAGGAAGTCAATTCTTCTGACTTAAGGAGAAGTTAGACCACAGATAGGCCCAAACGTGCGTCCCAATGGCTCATAAGGAAAGACCTAACGAGGTAGTTTTTCTTATTGTTTTTGTTTGTTGTTGTTTTCTCTTTCCTTTGTTTTTTTTTTTGGGACAAAGTCGTTTTTCCTTCTTCTGTTTCTTCTGTTTTGGTGTTGTGATTTTCATTTCTGGGCAGTTTCGTCTTTCAATAAGAAACGACAAAAGTCCCTGTGATAAATCATACCACCTCATTATATTCTAATCACAAAATTCTCAATTATAAATGATAGTTGAAAATTAATACTTTCAGTGATAAAGCTGGCCGGTTTCTCTTCATAAACCATTCTTTATTCTTTAACATATATCAAACGAAAGTTGGTATTGCACACAATCCAGGCAGTATTTGTGCGAACTTTTTTTTTTTTTTTTTTTTCGAGGCATATGTTAATTCAGGAGTATGATGCTAATTTCTTTTGTACAACTAGAAAATGGAATACATATCATGCTAACTTCAAACGTTATATTCAATCTTTGAATACATATCATACTAATTACCCTTTGCCTAATGATATTGCTGGCCTCAGGTTGAGTCATTCTTTCCAAAGTATGAAGAACTTGAACTATGTGGATCTGCCTGACTCGTGGAACATCAATGTGCCAGAAACTCCCCAAAATCCAAAAGCAAATCCTAGCCCCATACTGATGTAAAATCCACGACTTACAAGCCCACCCTCATGGTCTTGATTCCCTAAGCCAGTTTGTTGAACACTGCCTTTCTATTTCTCTTGATCACACATCCTTTGAAGTGGAAGTCCACAAAGCAGAGGGTTTTCGGCAAAGGCTGACGGATCAAAGTTTTGGAGCTGAGACCCCATTGGAATATTTCCAGACAGGTTGTTGTTTGACAAGTCCAAGTCACCAAGACCATATATCTGAAAAAGACTTGTCGGAATTCTTCCATCGATCTGGTTTCTTGATAAATCAAGAGACTGTAATAACTCCAACTTCCCAATGTCTGGATTTATTTGACCTGTTAGATGGTTTCGCGACAGGTTTAAAGAAACCAAACCACCAAGATGAATGATTTCTTTAGGAATCTCCCCCGTCAATTGATTGCTTGACAAATGAAAGCTCTTCACAAGTCCCAGAGTGCTCTTGTATTCAGACATTATTCCTTTCCATACTAAGGTTGCTACATCATCATAGCTCTCTGAAAAAATCCCATTTCCAAAATTACATGCATAATGATGAGTGATGGTTAGAATTGAATGTCCTTTATCAACTAAAGCCGTCAAATTGCTGAGACACTTGGGTATAGTTCCAGAGATGTTGTTAATTGACAAATCCAATATTTGGACGTGTGTTAGATTGCATAACTGTAAAGGAATTCTTCCATAAAAGCGATTAGAACGGAGGATAAGGATAACCAACTTCGGAAGTTCAAACCCTAACCATCCAGGTATCAATCCTGACAGTTGATTTTCTGCAGCATCAATAACTTTCAAGTGTTTACAGTTCATCAAGGATGAAGGCAACTCTCCCACAAATCTGTTGTG